CAGTCAAAACAACGAGAACATCAATGCCAAAAAAACAAACAGCCATCCGACATACCAAGTGTTAAGCAAATTCTCTCTCTTCATTTCTTCTGAATGAATGGAGTGCTTTGACTGCACCCAAAGTAGCAATACATGGCAGATAGGTTGGCATTTCTTTCATTCTATGTGCTGGTGCTAAAGCTAATGCTGAGGAACCACAGACACTTTCTAGGCTGTAGAAATTGGAGTCCACTGAAAGTTGAGGTACGGTGGGCATCTGGTGGCCCAGTAGCAGTAGTTCTCCTGTTCTCCTACAGTCCTTGTTTCTAAATTTATACCATTCCTATAAAATAAAGACTTAGATCCAAACCTAATTTCCTACTAAGATGTAACTCTTTACTCGTTGAAAGCCTACTAAGAGTAACCATTGAAGTGGTTTGAACTGAGTGCTTTCTGTCATATTTCAGGCCTGCTTATAAAATAAAATGACTGAGTGCATCAAAAGTTAGCTACCCTTGGAAAAAACCAAACACATTTTATTGCTATATACTGAGATGTCAAACCTCATACAGGTGAGGTTGTCAAATATCATCTTTATAGAGTAAAAAGTTAAACCTACTGTATCAATAGAAAAAAAAACTATCCAGATTTATTATTACTATTTATGCAAAGTCATCAACATGTGCTGCTACAGTGTCATCTTACAGATCTTTGACACATCAATGTTCTAGTTCACTAAATCAACAACTTAATTAGAACGTCAACTCGCTGTAAAGTTAATTACTGCTGGACAGGAAATCTATGACTACTTGACAGATGTGCAATTTTTCTTTACATTTTTTTTTTATACAAGAAAAGGAGTGGTTAAACACACAAATACAGTATCCATGTTCCCCCATCCTCCCTGGATGGGTGTTTCAGAAAAAACTTGGAAGCAGGGGGCAGGTAAGAGGTTAGCCTTTGTGTGTTCACGAGTAAAACACTCAGGATGCACAGCTGTGAACGAGGGGAGCGTCAGTACCCTGTCTTCCTCTATTTTTTGCCGACGTTTCTCCTCCACGGCAGCCCGTCTCTTTTCCTCCTTTACCCGCTGCTCCTCCAGCTTTTTCTTTCTCTCCTCAACGTGTTTCTCATAGTGCTGCCTGGCTCGTTCCTCACGGGCCTGCCACTGGGCCTCCTTGGCAGCTGGCGCATGTAAACATAATAAACAATTTGTTTGAAAAAAGAAAAAAAACAGGCAACTTGCACACAACACGAAAAGGCTTATAGCAGTAATGTGATGTGTCAGCTATGGATCATATGAGAAAGCTTTAGCTCTCAACACAACGCAAACGCCTCAGCCCCTTACTTAGGACCAGAGGTGCGACCAGTGTACAACAGCGTGAAAAAAATCCACACTTAAAACATGAACAAATCGGCAATGACTTCCTAAAAACCATCTGCTGTATTATTTTGATTATACTGACACACAGACACACACACACTCTAACATCAAAAACACCAGCCTTTCTGAAAGCTGTCCCATGGACTGTCCCATTATGTAACACGGAATCCATGGCAACAGGCCGCCTGGCTTGAACCTAGCCTTTATGTAACAGCCAGAGAAACTGGCACTTCACCACAGCTACCAACCAAGTTCAGTCACAATATGTTGTGGGAAAGACAAAAAAAACACCCAAAAAAAGATAACTTTTATTCTTCTCTCTGTCAAACGCACAAGAACGCTCACCATTCTGTTTTTCACGCTCCTCCCGGCGCTCACGGGCCAACCTAAGTCTCTCGTCAATCTTGTTGAAGAGCAGCGAGTCTGCAGCACAAACAACAGTGAAGAATGTTAAAGGCCTGACAGACAAAACAGTCAATGCTGAGACACGGTACAAACTAATCTCATTGAAATATATGTTAATGTATGTGGGACTCACCTGTTTTGGTGCCAGCATTGTTACTGGGGCTGTTG